TCAGGGAGCAGGCCCGACGCCCCGCCCGAGCGAGCGATGCCGACCGAGCCGACCGACAAAGAAATGAGGGAGTTGCTGGGCTTGGACGAGGGCCCCGCGCAGGCGGCGCGGTCGACCAGGATGGGCGCGCAATGGGAAGGGGGTCTGCCTCCCGCCCCCCCCCCCCCCTGGCCCTCGGAGAGGGCGAGAGGAGGTGCGCAGCGAACGTTCGGGGCCCGCCCCCCGCCCGCTGCGCGCCCAACCTGGCGAGCGCGCTGTCGAGGCTCTCAAGAAGTTGCGCGAGGAGCGGGCGGAGGAGGAGGACAGGGACAGGAAGCGGGTCGGAGGCTGCGGGTCGGTTCCCATTAGGTCGGCTCGCGAGGTCTGCGCCGGCCCGTTCCCCCGCCGCCACCCCGCCTCCCCCGGGCTAACCCCGCCCCCCGCGCTCGCTCGGGGGCGGCGGGGATGGCGGCGCTGACGCAGACCTTACGAGTCGACGTATTTAGATCCCTCGTGCACTCCTCCCTCTGCTGGCTCTGGCCGTCCGTCGTCGTCGTCGTCGTCGTCGTCGTCGTCCGTAGTCGTCGTCGTCGTCGTCGTCGTCGTCGTCGTCGTCGCCGTCTGCACCTCCTTCCCCTCCGTCGTCGTCGTCGTCGCCTTCCTCCCTCGCCGTGGCCATTTTGGCTCATGTGGTTTCTACGGAAGCTCTCGGCGAGTTGGTGGCTCAATTTCTTGTCAGGGGTGGTCGGGGCAGCCCGAGCGGTCTTCGAGCCGCCTCAGGGCGCCGCACTTTGTCCTGCGTGCAACGCTGCCAGGGGTGCGTCTCGGAGTTAGCCGCAGGTGCGCCCGTCGGCTCTCGTGTGTTTTCTGACTTGCGCTTCTGGGGCCGTTCGCCGCGATGCAATGCCCTGGGCGCGCATGACGCTCCTTGTCGCGGGGTTTCTGTGCTGGGGCTATCCGAGCGCACGCGCGGGGGCCTCCTGCGCGGGCGTTTACGCAGCTGGGGCACCCCCCCCCCCCCCCCTTTGTTTCAGTTGCGGTGCGGAGGTGCAGGAAGAATCGCTAGGAAGGCCGCCGATGACAAACGCGCGCCTTCGGCGTGATATGCTTCGGCCCCCCGGGGAGAAAAATTAGCTTAAAATGTGCGAATGCGTTTGGATACTCCCTAGGGCCCAGGCCCCCCTAGGTTATCGCTCGCATGATAAACTTCCGTTTGCGCAAGTACTGTCCAAGCTTCCGTTAGCATGAATATTGTCGCGACAGGCTGTAGTCAGCATAGATGGCGACGGACTCATCCTCTACTAGGCCCAGGTAGCCGGGCAAGCCACATGCTGCGAAAAATGCGTCGCCGTCGTCCATGTGCTCGATGGCCACAGTCATGATCTCGCCTCCTTCGTAGAACTGGGGGCCATGGGGCATCGTCGCGATCCGACTCCTGACCCTCGCGCCCATCAGAATCTCCTTGGTATCCTACCAAATGCGGGAAGGAGCTCGCGCCATGGATACGATGACCGCCGTTGCCAAAAGGTAGTAGTCGTTCAAGTTTCGGATGATTGTCGCACGCCAAATCAAAGTCGCATGATCCCTCTGTCAAGTGTTCAAACGCATCCCTCGCAGCGACATTGTGCATGAACCCTCTGAGAAGCATGCGCAATTTCAAATCCTCTGGCAGGGTCATGCGCTTGTCAACTTCTCGGAAAAAAAAAAACACGTGCTTACGCTCAATATAGGTGACGACGAATTTCGTTTGCGCTTGGTGCCGTCTGAATAGAAAGGCTCCTCAAAAACCTTCAGCATCCTGCTGTCCTGAAACTCGGCAAAACTCTTCTTGATGTGGATCACCACGACCTGCCCGCCGCCCTCTGAAAACAGCTGGTCTTCGGTGAGCCCGTTAATGATGAGATTGGTGTCTCTGGCATAGCGATAAATGACGTATCCGCGCTGTGCTCTCAAAATTCTGGTGGGAGCGAGCCGCGTATGCAGCTCCTTGGTGTAATGGTCTAAACGAGTATCCGGATTGCGTCCATCCGAAATGGGAGGCAGCTTGGGGGCCTCCGATCGTTGGCGATCAGAAAATCTGGCAGTGGTACATCCCCAACAGGTCGGAGCAAGACGGGTCATACGCATTGCCTGTCCTCGCAGAGACGTGTTCTGCCGATCTGCTGCAGACGAAGAGCCACGTCCCCGCAAAATCCAAACCGATAAGGATTGTTGCGTATTGGGGTGCGTCTCCGTCCAAGGCTGTGATACAAAGCGGGCCCAGTCCCGATTTGACCAGCCCGCATTTCCATCGTTTTCCCAAGGAGTGTCTTCTCGTCCTTCATTTCCTGCCCGGGGATCCTGATCTGGTTGTAACCCAAGATGTTCTGGAAGTTCACACTCTTGAAGGTGAGCGTCGTCTAGCAAATCCATGGCGGCGCTCGGTGCAATACGGTAGAGGGCGGGACGACAGGGATAGGAGTAAAGAGTACGTCAACCGAGAATCGAATGACAGGGGAATCGTCCTGACTCTGCCCGTGGATCCCAAAGACAGGTTCCGCTGCCACTGTGGATTGTACGGGCGTGACTATATGAATACAAAAGGTCACGAGGTACAAATAGGGGGCCCAGTGCTAGAACAGAGCAAATTATCCTTCCTTTTACGGAGGCGTGGGCGCGTCCGTCACAGGCGCGCCATGATAGCTCAAGGGCCATTGTGAGCCGATATGGCGGCGCACAAGGGAGTACAGAGAGAGGAGCAGGAGGAGCAGAGGCTGACAGGGGCCTGACAAACACAGTGGCCAATGAATGACCGAGGAGGCAAGGATGCTAAGGTACCCTTGGGAAGATTGCCCATCCATCTTCACTATGCGGGATGACTGTACCCCCCCTCCCACTCCAACTCCTCCTCCCTGAGGCTTCTTAGACGCGGGCCCGGCTCCTGGGAGGGTCGGCCTCTCCAATTGACTCCCTCCCCTCGTCGCCACTGCAGAAAATCGTCGCTGCACCAGGCTCCCCAGAAGGGGCGCCTTCCACCTGACTGCTCACGCGCTGCTGCGTGGGCACACGCCCGGCAGCTGCCGAAAAAGGCCGCCTCGCGACATTGTGCAAGCCTCGCTCCCCCGCTCTCCCGACCGCCTTTGCCCGCCCCCCCCCTGGTGTCATCCCTGATCCGGCCCTCCCCCCTGTGTTCCCACCCCGTACTCAGTTCCTCGTGACTTCCCAGAAAAACGCGAGTTCTGACATTGAGCACGTCGGCTGACCATGCCAGCGTTGCGCCCCCATCCACGGAGGGATTGGATCACGATCCTGCGCTCCAGCATCAAACGCGTTGGCCCCCCGAGACCCCCCCCCGCCGCCGGGGGGCCCACCGGGCTCCGTCGGCGCGCCGCGCTGCGTGTGGGAGCGCCGTCGGCACGCAGAGGTGGTCCGCGACGGGTGCGGCCGCAGGGGTGGCGCCGCCCCCGGCGCTCCGCGAGGTCCGCTCGGTGGCACTCCGCAGTGGTCCCTGCCCCGCTCGGTACCTTCTGGCAGTGGCTACCCGAAGGGCCTCAAGACGACCTCCAGGGAAGTCTCAACGAGGTTGTGAGATCCCCACGGGTTGCCCGCGGACGGCCCCTCCCCAACACGGGTGCATGGACAAGCTTGTGTAGTTTTCGACGTGTGCATGGGGGGGAGGGTTAGTATGGGCAAGAAGGGGGGGACAGGAGATCTGCCCCGTTCCGCCCTCCTCCTTCTGCGGAGGGTCCTGGTTTGGCGCCAACACTTTCCGAGGATATACATGCAACTTGGCGCTAACGCATGCGACATACGTACAATATGTTTGGGCGCCAACATCTCCCAACTGGAATCGCTTACACGCACCTCCACTGCGCCGAGACGTCGCAATCCCCTCTCTGCGTTAAATCCTTTTCGGACGCATCTTTGCATGTGGGTGGGGGGGGCCACTGGGTTCCTTCCGAATTTGAACCCCCCAAGACCTGGCAAATAATGGAGATGTACACTGCCGCCTCCGCAAATCCTCCTCCCCCACCCACGTCATCCTCCCCACTCCCCCGACCCCCAGATCCGCATCGCACTCGCGGCATCGGGCTGGCGAAGGACAACGATATACACCGCCCTCGCGCCTACCGTGGGGAAGCCAACAAAAATTCCGATACCACCGCTCCCTGGACCTCTCCCAGGGGGATTCTGACAAATGCATTAACTGCAAGACTCCGAGGCGAGGTAGCAACGAGGCCTCCCCGGGTTGGAAGCCTCAGACGAGAAAACGAGAAAGGTCCCCGGTGAAGGACGACGACAAATACACGCCGGCAACGATCTGGGCCAGGCCAATCCTGGACCGAGGATCGGTGGTTACGCTCCCCTGGCGGGGCGGCGAATGCACCGATCTTGGGCAAGGTGGGTCTGGCCAGGACTGGTGCCTGCGCTAGAGGCCTCCCAGATGGGGTCCGAGTAGATGGGGTCGGAGGATCGCGCCGCATCGCCGATGCATCGCCGATGCATCAGCGATATTCCAGCGAGGTCGGCGATGCATCGGCCACGTCGGCGTGGAGAGAACAGGGCTCCACGTAAAGCGGCGTCGCCGATGTATCGGCGATGCGGTTCGATCCTCCGACCCCATCTACTCTGACCCTTTCCAAGGGGCCTCGATGTGCATGAACCGTCGCCGCCCGATGTTGGGGAAACAAAAGGGTACCGATACTGCTGCTCCCCAGACCTCTCCCTGTGTGCCTTCTGACGAGAAGTTCGAGGCGCATCTGGCCATGACGGCGAGGGCTTCCCCGGAGGCCCAACAGATTCGAAAACGAGGGAGCGGTAGCGGTATGGGTACTTCATCCTCCTCCGAGATCGGCTACACGTAAGAGTGGCCCTGGGTAACAGTGACCTGTGGTGCGCGGCTTTTTGGGGCCGTGGGGAAACCAAACCTGGGCGCGCAAGCCCCTGCTACCGCTTCGTTCTCAGCCATCTGAACCAAAAGTCACTCCGGCGAAAGGTCACTCTTACGTCTAAACGATGAGATGTGTGCGCCCGCGCGCGGGTCACGGGGAGGGCCGCGCTGGCCCTGGTTCGGACTCGAAACTGAGCAGCTCCCGCAGGCGCCCGGCGTACACGGAGTCGGCGGTGGGCCTGGGCGCGCGGGCGGCCACCAGGGGGCCGCGGCAGGGCCGCAGCCTGCCAGCGGGGCCACCGACAGCCCTGCCACGGTCGGCCGGCCGGCGGCAAATCGGCCGCAAGCGCTGTAAACGTGCGGTCTTCCCACGCGGGAAGGGGGATCGCCACCAGGCTGTCTGGCGACGAGCAAAACAGGTACAGTCAGCGTGGTAAGAGACATGGGGGACGCAACATCAGGAATGGCAGGGCGTTCCTTGCCGCGACGCCGCGACGAATTTCCACGAATGGGTTCTCCGACCTTGTCTACAAAGTGACCCTTGTTTCAGCGTTTACGTCATAGTGACCTTACGGCTCAAGCTGTATCCATTGGTAATCGCACACTCTGGTACCGTACACATCTGTCTCTACTCTTTCTTTCCTTTGCTACTTCGTGCAAATGTCGACGATTGATCTTGACCCCGATTCGGTTTTGCCGCAAGGGCCTGAGACGCGGAATAAGATCACGAGGATTCCTGGGACGCCTCTTGGAGGCGAGAGGGGCTCCAGCAGCTCAGCGGAGGTTCGCCCCATTTCAACGCCAGTGGGGAATGAAGAGAAGCGTGCTCGCCTGACCAGTCCATTGAATGAGATGGATGGTGTATCCATCGAGCCCGAGAGTCTTCGGGGCACCGCCCGCCATCTTGATTTTGACAGTGCGGCCCCACAGGCAGAACCCCTTACTTTAGAAGCTATCTCCACTCTGTTCGGTTCGAAATGTTCGACATGGAGCTGTCCGACCAGCAGGCCTATTTGAAAGACTTGGAGGCGAAGTTCAATAAGGTAGGCTCTCGCGCATCGTCTGTGGCCTCCAGTTTTGGAGACGACGCTGAGCTGAAAAAGCGGTTTCGCCAGCTTGAGCTCAAGATGAATGCGCTCACCGTGACGGCCGCCGACAACGCCAACCAGGCGACAGCGGTCTTCGGGAACCTCGTCGGCTTCGAAGGGAAGGACGACGCTGGGAGGTGGCTGACCGACCAGCTCTGGTGGTGTAGTGCCCCAGGCGCGTGTGAGGTGTACTGCAAGGGCGAGTTCTCCAACATGCTGTTCGGCGTCTTCGCTTCTTCCTCAGCTCGGGACCTGGCAATATCGAAGATCCGGGAGGCACGCCTCGTGTGTGGAGGCAAAACAGTTTGAGCGAAGCCGGAGTTGCCTGTCCACGTGCGCGTCCCGCGGGCCACGCCGTTTGGGGCGAAGGCTTTGTTCGTCCAGTGGGGCTTCGAGAAAAAAGGCCTTCTGGGTCGACGTGGACACGAATGTCTTGACGTTCGGGGGGGACACGGTGGTGGAGGCGAAGGTGGACAACGGGGCGATGCAGATAAAGTACGGGGGGGGCTGCGAGGAGTATATGGACGGAGAGTGGAAGGAACTCCTCGCCAAACACGCTGGCCGGCTCCAGCGGGGCACAGCTGGGAAGGGAGCCGAAAAAAGGCAAGGGCAACGGGAAGAAGGATCCCCACTAGGGACAGCGCCCGGCGAGCACATGGTTTCACCCGCCACTGTTGGTGACGGTTTAGTGTAAAAGTACACGCATACACACAGCTCAGAGGTTGGCGGACATGCTATCCGAGCTGCACGACATGACGTGGGACTTCGTTTGCTTCAGCGAGACCAGGGCCGCTGCGGCAGAGCGCGAGCTCCATGGCAACCACAAACTGATAAGCCACCGTGGCGAGGGTCACGGTGGAGTGTCTGTTTTAACTCATTCAAGTTGGGCAGACCATGTCTTTGCGAAAAGAAGCTATGGAGATCGAGTTATTGTTGCGCGCCTTCTCAGAGAATGTGTATGGGATTCAAGTACAAAGGTGCAAAACCCCTGGTCCGCTGGTAGAGGAAAGGAAGGAAAGATGGATATCTTTTCCCCCTGCGCGATCAAAGGTCTGATCGATCTAATCCAATACCTGAGCCCAAACGGCCAGGCGCAGGATAGCGAGGATAAGGAGTATATATGAGGGTGTTATACGGGTTCTATTCACACCCCCCGTCCCGAATCCCGCCCGCAAGGGCAGGGCTCGGGAAAAAGGAGAAAAGCAACTGTCACCCTTTTACTCCTCAAATCCTCAGCACTGAAAGGGAGCTGAGCGTAAAGCTGTGTCGCGTTAGCTGCGTCCCGATCACGACAGCAGCGTGCAAAAGTGGAGCGCAGCACAACAGCTGGCTTGATCAGGCAAGTAAGGGAAAGAAAAAACACCCTGGGGCCCTGCTTCTTCGCCAAGCACACTTTGGTGCCCCCTCGGTGCGCCCCCCGAAAACGCTTCGGCGCTCGAGGGCGGAGAAGAATGAGGCACGGGTGGGCGGAGCAAGAGGATCTGAGTAAATTAAAGCAACATCAGAAGCTGCCGCGTCTGTACGCGGCAGGTGTTGCCACCAGCTTTCAAACCAAAGCTGGGCGTCATATCATTCTCAACGCAAAATTATATCAAACTATTTTGTATATAATAAACCAAGAAAATGCAAAATCAAGTCGTGCTGAGAAACACGATCGCGTTAAGAAGCACGTCGAATCATCAAAGCAATGCTGGGCCCAGCGCAAAGTCGTGTTGATGAACACGAAATGTATACATAAATTCGGCAATTGGTTACTCCCCTCGGCGATGCCCCTTAAGAGTTTGCCTCTGGTTTCACAAGATGCATGGGAAGGGCCACTTATCTTGTAGAATGAAGTGGCCAAATATTCTATGAGTACTCACTGCTGGAGGCGAACCTGGTAAAGATGAAGCTCAAGCCAATCGAGCAGTGGGCCTCGCGGCCGACTCAGCTACGAACTTCCCCTCATGTAGAACCTGTGGCCCCACGCCCTGTGGCCATCGGTCCCGACGAAGCTCGTCGCATATGACGCCCAAGCTGCACTTGGGGTCCAGTTGCGGAACCGATCGTTGCACTGCAAGTCGCGGAGGCGTACGAACTCGTCGTCGTTCTCCGCGATATAAATCCAGCACTCGATGCAGTAGCTCCAGCACCTTGGGCCCCATCTGCTGTCCTCGAGGTTGTGGCGCCACCACGTTGCGTAGTCCTCAGTCGTGCGCGCCCGCTCGGCACGCGGAGGCGTGGTCGGCCTACGTCTGCTGTCGCTGCTCTGCCGTGGCGCATCGGCCGCGCCGCTCGGCCCAGCGGGCGCCCCTGCCTGCGCGCCAGAGGCGCGGCTTCCAGCGGCGTCGCCATGGGCGGCGCGAGGCGGCGGCGGACGCCGCGGCTGCTGCGGCGCCATGGCGCCATGTGTGTGAGAGGAGTGTGCGTGGGGGGATCATTGGGATCGGTTCTAACCCCTGAACTCACCCCCCTTGAACCGGCAGATCCCATGGCAGGTTCGACAGAAGCGAGTTTGGAAAGCTTACGCTGCGCGACCTTTTCAAGTGCCGCCCCCGCGGGGCAAAGCAATTGTGATGAGACCGCCTTCTTCCCTGGTGCCTCTGTCCATCCTACCTTCGTTCAACCACCAGTTCCTGCGACCAGCGTGGCCAAGCTCAACGCTGCAAGCATGGATGTCGCAGGCGTCGCGCATGTCCTCGATGGTCCAGGCGTTCTTGCCAGTCTCCACACGGGCGGCAGTCATCTGGTGGTGGAACCGTGGGTCATTGAGGAAGCGTTGGACGACTGTGCGGCCAGGGTGGTGCAGAGGACGCTGATCGCAAGGTTCACCCATCATCCTGCACCTATTCGCAGGAGGGGAGCCTGCATCGAGCCACTTCTGGCCCCTCTCTCCCGCCTTCTTCGCTAGTTTCCTCCAGATATCCTTCTCGCGTCCGTACTTGGACGGTTTGCCTGTCATGTAGACACGCGCCCCATCTGACATGTAGCGCCTGACGTCGTTCTCGGAGAGGTTGTTCCTGATCCAGCTGTTGAGGTTCTGGAGGTACGCCAAGTCGCTCTCCTCGGCCCCACCTTTGCCTGTGGCGCCTACAGAGACACTGTGCTGCCAACAGATGTCGCAACGTGCCCCATCATTGTTGATCATCCCCAAAGAAAGGAGGCGATCGCAATTCCGACATCGCGGGATAACATGCTGGAGTTCTTCGGGGGGCCCAGAAGTGGCGAGGTCCCTGAGCGAGCCCCAGCGAGTGTCGCCACCAGCTGTTGACGCGAGGGAATGACCAATCTGGTTCATAGCCTCACGATTGAGCTCAGCGGTGGCACGAGAAGCGATCGATCGTCCGATCCCCTCGATCTCGGTCATCGATAGCCTTTCCCCCGGTAGTCTTGCGTACCCGGAGGTGTCGATGACCGTGGAGTCCGTCTGACCGTGGGGTGCGTCCATGTCCGCGCGAATGCGGGTGGCCTCTGCCTGCAGGGTGGTCTCGTTGTCGCCCACCTCGCGGTCGATGTTCTGCATTTCGGCCAAGACCTGCACCGTGGTCTCTTGATCTGGGGCTGCTGAAGCAACACTACCTGGGTCCTGAGCAAAATCCTGCCTGGCGCCTGGTTCGTCCTGGTCAGGCGCGGCAGGCGTTTCCACCGGTTCCTCCCATGCGGGGGGGCCTGGTTTCCATGTGTCTTTTGACGCTCTGCGAAGAGTGCTCGCAATGCAGTGAGAGCGGGATGGTTCTTATTGATGGAAGCGTTGGTGAATTGATGTAGCTCCTTGATACCATCCAACACGATAGTTTGGTACACTTTGGGAATTCATTGGAAGATACCTGTAGTTGATTCCTGAATAATTCCAGGGTCGAGGAAATGTACCATCTTTTTGAAGAAATGATCTGCGCTGCATGTTGGCAAAACACGTGCCCATGTATGGGTGTGGTCGAAATCCATCTGGTATGCCTCTGTATTAGCCCCGAACCGGAACTCAAATCGCAAGTATGACTCTATCTTGTCCACCACAAGGTTGGTCCTGCCAGCGTGTAACCCAATAGTTTGTCTCACCTTGATCATCGGTGAGTCCATCAGTGGCGCCGATGTCCAGTCATATACTCGGTGGTCGTAAGAGGAAAGAATCCATGTAGCATGATCCTCTGGGTCGTAGCCGGGATGGTTGAGGA